CGAGGACTTTGCTCCCTGCCGCCAGGTGCGCATCCCGGAAACGTCGCATTGAATATGGGCATGCATACTGATGGATATAGTTCATGTTGGCCTACAAGTCCCTGTGCCCCAGCGGCTGGACATCGCGATGGGACGACCAGCGTGGTGAGTATCTGATTCTGAACCATCTGTCCGCATGCGCAATGGACTTTGAAAGAGCTATAGCTAACATATGGAATAGAGGCTGGCAACTTCCCCGTAAAGCTCGACCAGTAGAAAGCTCGCGACAACACCCAGCATGCGACAGTTTCTTAGAGCAGGACAGGATCGGATCAGAGTGGCATTTGCAACTTAGAGCCCTGTATCATAGCGATCGACATCAGCAATGCGACTCTGGTCTATCTACTTTGCCACCCCAATGCACCGCTACCTCGTGATGTCATGACCCCCTTCGCGTGACACCATTAGTCTTCCCGTCGTCTGTCTAGTCCTGCATATCTCCTGCATACCGTCGACACCGTCGTACGACATATGCGGACCTGATGTTTCAGAACTCGCCATATAAACTTCATCACATGCATATGCACGCCGATCGAACCAAGTCTCCTAGTGTCATACATTATCATTCAGAGTGTGCTCGATATACGAGATATGTAGTGAGTGTAGCCAATTTGCAGTAAAGTTGGGACTTTCTATCCTGTACAGATAAGGGGATGATGGGTGAATCGCCGCTTGTGTGCAAAAAACAACGCTAAGGTGACAAAGGGACCAAAGGGACCAAGAAGGAACAAAGTGACCGCCCAGTTGCGCCGCAAGGCCAGACCGCTAAATGCATGCAAGACCTGCTCTGCTATAAACAATCGTGAAGAACTCAGGCGTATCAAGCCGAGTAGGTAAGGCTGTGTGGTTAGATTTGGGGTATCGAGCGATTGGGAAAGAGGACTAGTTCGCGGTCGGATATGCGTTCACTGCGAAATTGCCGAGATACTTCGGTCGTCCACATGCCCGCAGTGAGCATGTGGGCAGAGGGATCCAGGACTGATACGGCTCAGTGCCCAGCATAATCTCATGGCCCTCACATTGAAACCGCTTAAGAGCCCAATTCGGGTCGTCAGTCCGTAGGTCCTGCTCCTCCTCTTCCTCTTCCTCCTCTTCGGGAATGGCGGTGTTCGCGTCGTCGCCATGAGCACTATCCTTGCGCCAGTGCTTTCCCTGATCCAGGACCTCACCGATACTAGACAGCGAATCCGGCGCTGCCGCAGCGGGCTGGTAACTTGTGTCGTAAACCTGGCGAGTGTTCGGGTCCATCAGGCAATCAAAGCCAGTCTGTAGCGCACGGTACTTCTTCGCGTCGTTGGCAAAGTACACACCACGCAGACGGCGGTACGCAGCCCTAATCTCGTCGGTGGTGGCCTTGGGAGTGAGTTCGAGGATAGCGTAGTGATCGACAACGTCGGAGGGGTCGTTCGTCGGCGAGGCCATGGACGGGTTCTTGAGAGTATAGCATCCCTCTGACACGTATATCGAGGACCTTTTCGTGTGCTGCACCATTGGAGAGTTGTCTGCTACACTAATGGGCCGCGGGCGTTGGATAGCTTCAGACTGGTTGCGCCCGTGGTTGTTGAAACGTTTGCGCGGAGAGGGCGATCGCAGTGGGCTGAAATTTATCTTGCACATTTGCTCGGAAGGAGGTTGAAAGCTGGGAGTCGGAGACATTGTGGTGTATGTGTGGGTGGTCATTATGTACTAGCAATAGCAAGGTGGGTGGGTGCGTCGTGTGGTAATGATAGAGGATGTGCTATGTGGAGTGGGGTGGGCGCTGTTCAAAGTAGAGATGGTGTTGTTGTGTGAAGACGCAGTGTGGGAAAACATTGAATGATCAGGACATGTCCTAGACCACATGGACAGGGCAGCATGGTGGCTGCGCACAATGCAGGGGATAGGCGCAATCACAGGGGGGCACAGCAAGTGGAGCTCTAGGCCGAATCGCGAAATGAAGATGTTGTGAATGGAGTAATTAATCAAACAACGGGCTAGGGGGGGTCGGCGCGATGAAACAGAATGCAGCAGACCAATGCCAAAGGGTCCAGCGCGGCACTGGTAGGCTGTCAGTGCTTCGGCGTAACACGTGCGGACGTGACGAATGACTCCGCGCTAGTAGGCCCGTTGGTGTGGAGATCTCGCTAAGATTTCAGTCGCCGCGACCGTTGGCCCAGTGAGCTCGAGATAGCATAGCATAAGCTGATAGACGTCCCACCATGGCCGATAGCTCGAGGAAGAGGAAGCAGCCTGCCAACACGGGCCCCAGCAATCCTGTTAAACGCACACGATTCCAGCAACGACCCCAGTACGTCATCCCCGCGGTTTCGACTAGCAACGCGTACCCCAATGGCGAAATCAACGTCAAGAACTTTCTCAAGTCGCACGAGAATGAGATCAGGTCGCTCGAGGGCGCCATGAAGGCGGCCAAGAAAGGGCTCTCGCGACGGGCTTTTCAAGATGTGCCACGGGAGTTGAGGAGGAGGACCGCAAGTCACAATCCGCAGCGCGTGCCGAAGAGGTTGCGGGTCAGGGCGCGGCAGGAAGCTAAAGAAGACAACACGCCCATTGCCAGAGGTACTAGTGGAAGTGGTATTGGGAAAGGCAAGAAGAAGTTCCTGAGGAAGGAGGGGAGGGAGCAGAGTAGGCAGAAGGCGAAGAAGAGGAAGGATGGCAGTGGGAAAGACGACGACGGAGACGCGAAGATGGAGGATGCGCCGAAGCAAGTCACGAAGCCCTCACCACCGAAGCCGAAGCGCAAGTTCCCGCCCTTGGCCACGCCCGCTACCCCTCCATCGCGATTCCGCAGACGCCAGCGAGACAAGACCTGGCTTCCTACGCACCTGTGGCATACGAAGCGCGCAAAGATGACGGACCCTAAGGAGCCGCTCTGGCGGTTTGCGATACCGTTGCAGCCAGCGGTCAAGGCATACCGTCTCACACACAGAGCTGCAACCCAGCGGGGAGCTGTCGCGTGGGATATGAGCTACATGTCAACCCTCAGCCTGGAGGGTCCTGAAGCCAGTATAACGGGGCTACTCAAGGGTCTGCACTTCTCTGCAGAGGACGCAGAGGACCCATGGCAAAACAGAGGCAGGGCTAAGAAGTGGCGGAACAGCACTAGGACCTGGGAAGGCTGGATTTACGAAAGAGAAGCGAAGCCGTTGGTGAAGATCGCTCGGGTGACTGTGATCTGGTGTACACCGCATGCCGATGGCAAAAAGACGAAAGCTTTCATTCGGGTGCATCCGGGCGCTTTCTTGCAGCTCTGGGAGGAAGTTGTTCGCACGGCCAAAGTGCAGAAGCCTGCTGTTACCGTGCGAGATCTCCGCTTCGAAATTGGGTCTATTGAGATTGTAGGCCCGGCTGCTGCGGAGGCCCTCTGCTCTGTTCTTGCCCCTGTGCCTTCTCCTGAGGCTGGCTCTGATACTCCACAGTCAGTATGGCCGACTTTGGCCTCTGTGACGGACGCTGCATCGTTACCAGCCGGTGCGCTGTTGGCGTTTGATATTTCAGATCCTCGGCTTCGCGATCCTCCTCGCACCTCGCACCTATCACACGATCAACAGTCGCTGACTGCCCTGACGGAAACCCTGGCGACCTGGCCAGTCGACAACACTCTGACTCCAGCATCGATCTTCGATACCAACAGCCGACTAGCCGCACAGCGAACCATGCCATCTCAAAAGTCAATCAATCGCCGGAAGAGCGCATGCACACTTGGCGAAGACCCTGAGGCCCGATCCACAGATCCACGTATTCCGACACTGGTATTTGTGTCACGAGAAAGCAAGTCCTGGACCATTCTCCTCCCCTGGAAATGCGTGATGCCTGTATGGCGACAGATCATGCGCTACCCGGTTTCCACAGGCGGCAACCCCAGATTCGGTGGCTTGAAAGAGAGACGTCAGGTTGACTTTGAGCGATCGAAGCCGCACTTCCCGTACGACCATCCTGGTACAGAGGCTGGTTGGGTTTGGGAAGAGCGTGAGCGTGAAGTGAGGAAGCACGAGTGGACTAAGCGTCCGAAGGGGAAGAGGATTGAATGGTCGACTATTGATCTTGGTAAGGGTAGGAAGGGCGAGGTTGGAGATCCGTGGTCTTGCGACTGGCAGAGATTGATTGCAGATGTGTCTTCACGTCAAGAATCTCGAACTCCTGTCAGACAGCTCTCGTTCAGACAAGCAGCTGGTATGGTTGACGGCACGGCTTCGTCGAGCGGCTCGTTGTTGCCATCAGATGTATTCACTGTCAAGATCACAATGGTCCAACGAGGCACCCCTACAGACTGCGCTCGCATCTACCGACTGCCTAGCTACCCACAACTCCGTGGGCAATGGCTAGCCCAGCTGCCACAACCCGGCACGAAGCGTACGTCGACGAAGCAACAGAGTCGAGGTGTCGTTAAGCAGCCAGACCATATCCAGCGCAGGGATCTTGCAAGGAGTCTCCTAGACAACGGCCCACCGAGCGCTGGCGAGGAGAATTACCCTCTAGTGCCTGACGAAGTGGATCTCATCGGCTTCGTCACAACGGGCAACTACAACCTCGCAGAGGGCATGCCGACGGCGGTTGCGAATCTGGTAATGCACAGGGTGCTCGCTCCTGGCTCTGACTCGGGCGTGCCAAAATCGGATCGCGTGTGCATTGTGCGACAGGCGGGAAGTACCATCGGCAGGCTGGCGCGATGGGAGATAGTCTAGGTAGCCAAGATAGGCGTGGATAGATGCTCTGAATGATACCCATTGCTTGTTACAATCACACTTATGCATCAGTGGAGACGCGCAGCTCCACCTTCAATTCTTGGGTGAACACGCAGTTCTCGGTGTGTGGGTGGGTGTGTGGGGTAGGCCAACTCTGGCTGCATGCGCTAAATCGGAGCCGGAGCAGGGATGCGCGATATCTCCCGTCGTGGCCGCTAACGTCTCAGCAACCATTTCTCCACGCCCTGAACACTCCCGTCCACCACGCCCAGCTGCGTCATGTCTGAGGACCGCCCGGCAGACGACCAGGCCGAGGGCGTCGACGCCGCCGTCGGCCTGCCCTCGGACGCGCTGGCAGAATTGGTACGCCTGTCCGCCGCAAACCGCCTCCTCGGCTACTAACAATCGTGTCGCAGACTACCAACATCCTCGACGACTTGCTGAGCAACATCGTCTTCACCACGGCCCTGTCGTGCCACCGCTCCGAGAAGCTGCTCCGCATGCAGTCGGCGGCGACCCAGGCCGAATCCATCGCCCTCGCCAACCTCGAGCCCCAGTCGCAGAAGCAAAACACGACGGGCGCCACGTCGATACCCATCGCTGAGACATCCGCCGCCAAGTACGAGAACGGACGCGTCTTCCTCAAGGGCAACCCGCTCAAGACGACGCCCGAGATCATATGTCCGCACTGCAAGCTGCCCCGGCTGATGCACCCCATTATGGGCAAAGGCATGCAGAACCCGGACCTGACCAAGGAGTACTGCATGCTGTATCCGTGGGTCCAGCGATCCGGCCACGACGTCTACGGCAACCCGTTCCCCACCGACATGGCTAAGAGCAAGAAGGAACGCGAGCTCATCAAGCAGCAGCAGAAGAACGCCGAAAAGGAGAGCGTGGGCACCCCCGGCTCCCAAGACACCGACATGGCCGGCGGCGACACCAAGGAAATCAAACTCAACACCGGCGGCAAGCCCGCCTCGTACATCCCCTGGCACACCTGCCCCAACTGCAAGCGCAGCTTACTCATAACACGATTCGCCCAACACCTCGAAAAGTGCCTCGGCATCAGCGGCCGCCAGTCCTCGCGCAACGCCATGGCTAAACTCACCGGTCAAAACGGCACAGGCTCAGGCGTCGGCAACACGCCGCTCGGAAGCCGCATGGGCACGCCTGCGCCTGGCTCCCAAGACCCCTCCGAGAAGACCAAAACAAGCAGTAAATCAAAGGGCATCTCGCCCGTCAAACGCCTCGCCGCCACCGACGACGCAGACGACTTCGACGCCGACGATACCCCCGAGCGCCGCAAGATGAAGAAGAAGAGCTCGTACATTAAGAAAGCGGACCGCGATAAACCGTCTAATGGGAGCGGTGGTGGCAGTAACGGCACGTTGAAAGTCAAGTTAAAAACAGGAAGACCGGATATAGGTGATCGGAAACATAGTGAGAGTAGTGAAAGAGGGGAAGGCAAGCGTGACAGGGATGTTGATGACGTTGGTGGTGATAGTCCTAAGAAGAAGAAGATCAAGCTCAGTCTGGGTGGTGGCGGTGCGAAGGAGAGGAGTAGGGCCAGTGCGAGTGTGGAGCCGGGGGGTAGTGTGGCGAGTCCTGGAGAGTAGAATTCCGAGGGAGAAGAGGAAGAGGAAGAGCAGCGTGTGGTTAGTCCACCCGCGGAGTAGAATTCCTCTAAAGACGCTGAGGTGGTGACGGATGAAGATGTGGATGTGGATGCGGGGACGGATAGAGATGCGGAGGGAGATACAGATGAAGATTTGGCCGCGGAGTGGGAGCCGGAATAACGCTCAGGTTGTAAAGAACGGCGTGTACGTGTATCAACTGTCGAAGCAGAAACATGCATGGATGCATAGGGATCAGGCGTTTTGGGGGCATTTTTTCCTCATACTTTGGGATTCGGGACGAAAGGGTTATGGTGTTTGGGCTTTCTTTCGTTTATACCATGGCATGGGAACTGGGGGGTGTCGAGGTAATGTTTCTCGACCCAGTGGCGTTTTTTTTTTTGGCATTTTGTTGTTTTCGTTGGGGATTGAGGGGTGGAGAGAGGGAGGGGTTTGTATGATTATAGTTTGAGAAAGGGGAAGTTGGATGGGGAATGGAGAGGAGACTGCTTAGGCGGTGTTTTGCTGTTACTACAAGATTTTGTTTACCGAACTTGTGATATCCTTTACCTGATATATGTACTTTGCTTTTTTGCAGCTTTCACCGTTGACTTGGGTAAATACAGCATGGAGAGGTGGTACAGTACGACATCATGAAATATGCCTCGTACACGAGTACTAGAATTCAGACACCCCTACTTTACGTTGTTGTAGATGGAATGTTAACCATAAAACACTACATGTATATGCCATCTCAAAAAAAGAAGCGATATCAAAATCCCTGGGTTAAGTTTGGCGTAAAGGACTTTGTTGAAAGAGAGGTCTTGGCATACCTCGGTATGGTACGCCGAATGTACCACCTCCAGCACGATCTGATGCAGATATCACGATCAGAGCAAAGACTAGGATTCGTGTCAAAATACTTTGAGCGGGTTCTTGGATTACTACACGACCTGTTCGGAAAAACATACTATCGATTTGTGTGAGGGCTTGAGAGAGAGGGCCAGCGACGACGAGGTCCACGTGTAGGCATCCCCAAATCCCGATGCATCGAACGAACACAGCCTCACCATTGGTCTCGTAGACTCAAAAGCCGCGCACCTACAGTGTTGGAAGCGCATGCTGCCTTCGACAAGCAGACACACCTCCACCCCAACCCGGAACTGTGCAAAAGTGCACTAGAGCCATACAAGTCGAGCAAACCCCTGTCTCTTCGAACTTATCCAGTCCCTCCAAGCCCATCTCGAGCGTGGTAGTTCGATTGCTGCAGAAGAGCAAGCAAGCGAGGGGGCATAGTGGTGGAAGCCAGAGTCCGGGGGGTGTCAGGCGGGCTCAGGCTTGGCGCACAGATCCCGCACTGTATATACTCGCACCGCCCACCACCCACCTCTAGTCCCCCTCCCTCCCTCCCTCCTCCTCCCCACTACCCCTCTCCACATAACCATCGCACAACATCTCTTCTTGGTCTTGGAACCAACTTGGAGGACTTGAGAAGGCTTTCGAGATCGCTTCGAACTTTCTTCTCGCTTTTCCCATACACTGGCTGCGTCGAGGCATCACCATGCCGTCGTCGTCGTCGCCAGCACAACAGTCCGCTCGCCAGGCACCAGCCATGCCAGACCAAAAGCAACAAGAGGACGAGTACCGTCAGACGACATACCACAATGGACGCAGTATCCAGATCGAGGAGTCTCGTCGTCGCTCCTGGGCGGTCCGCAAGGTCGACTCTCCAGTCCAGACATATGCCGACTTCGTATTGTATCCCGTGGAGAACGAGCGTACAAGCCCACGAAGCAAACTTCAGCAGGTCGAGCTACCTCACCCCGCACCGCGAGAAGTGGCCGCAGGACCCGGTGAGAGACACGTGACACACGTGACTTCTGCCAAGCATGTGTCGAAAAGAAGAGAGAAGCCAGTCGTCCTTCATGGGGCGGCAAAGTCGAATCGAGAATCGTTGGTGGAGTCGAAGTGGGCTTTACACTCCTCTGCTGGTCCAACGCCTCCTCCTACGCCTAGGCTAGGCCGGTTGCCGACGCCTGATCTGGATGAGTTGGATGAGACACCCTTTTGCGGTTGTGGTGGAGATTCGCATGCTGTTAAGCGTTGTGCTGAATGTGGCTTGGAGTTCAATCCCTGGTGGGCGTGATCTCCTACTTGACAAGGTTTTTCGGTGTCTCCTTTTCGTGAAAGTCGCCTTAGGCCTGGTATTATGGTTCTTGACTCTGTCTTTCTTCTTGATCTTCTTGATCTTCTTGATCTTCTTGATCTTGTTGATCTTCTTGATCTTTCCTTGGTCTGGGCCTGTCGATAAAAGCCCGTATGCCGCGAGCGAGCATTACTACTTCATGCTGCTCATGAAGCCGTCTTGGCTTCCTGAACATGCTTTCTTACAACTTCTGGGGCGTTTGGTGTTGGGTTTCCTTGGCAAGAAATAAAGTCGTGATTCGACTCTAAGCGTATCCTTTCCGTAGCCGGGACAATGCTACCCTAAACTGATTGCACCTGACCTACACGTCTGAAGTGGCCTAGGACGGGAAGGCTATTCCTGCGGCCGTTCGCTTTCTACCACGAAGTATTTGCCAGATTTGCGTTCTGCCGAGCCCAGAACATCCCAGTCCTCAACATCCTTCGCATCCACAGGCGTAGTATCGCGTTGTAGCCGCTTGTGATGCTGTCCTATAACCTTCTCTTTATCCAAAGCATCCCTCAGCGTCTCCAACGTGATTGTCTGCTCTTCTTCTGCAGCCATCGTCTCATCCCGTATAGCCCGTAACGGCTTCACACCCGTTGTATCCACTTCCTGTATCTTGCCCACAAAGTGTAATTGCGCTGCTAGTGTATCTAGCATCTTCTGTTCTTGCTCGGCCGTTTCGGGTGGCGGGAGGGCTGATAGGCGTAGCAGATGGTGTAGTTGTTGAGAGGTAATCTGAGGGGCGTCGGGAGCGCGTGTCTGCGGTGGTAGGAGGGACTCGACGGACCAGGTGGGCTCTGCTAAAAGCTCTTCGAGTTCGTCGGGATGGATGCCTATCTTCTTCTGTGCCGGCTTTTCCTTATTCCCCGGATCCTCGTATAATCGTACACGTGAGGGCGTGTATGAGCGTATTTGCAGGTATCGTGGAGGCGTGCAAAACTTCGTGAACGCAAACGCGCGACGTGCCGCCATGATGAATGTGATGCGCGAAGCGGGGTAGGACGTTTGTTGGGACGGAACGAGATTTTCGTTGTAGACCGTGTGATACTTCAGCGCATCGATATAACGGCGATGATTCTCTTCTATCGCGAGACCCGAGCGACGCTGCTGTGAATGTAAAGTCGTGAAGCTCGAGGCGGTTGCAAACACTAGTGCGGATGCAGTAACGCCGCCGCCGAGGTCACAGCCCTCGCATGGACCAACGTGGGTCGTCATCGCATTGAGACAGCGAGTGCAGCCACCTGTCTCGACCAAAGTTTCAACATAACGTCTGCCTGCACAGTCACTTACTCTATTCATCCCCTCTTCTCCTCGTATACCACCGACTCTAGAAGATACAGCGAACATGGCCGGCGATCCACGAGCGCTGCTGCGACAGGTGGGGCCTACACTCACGACTCAGCCACACAGCAGATAACTGATATCGAGGTGGACAGGCAGAAACATCATTACAGAAGGCAGGCGGTGGCTTCAGTTTCTTCAGTAATAAGGCAGACAAGTGTATGCTACAGACCGCGGCATATGTGCTCTTTTTGGCTGACGCACGTGATAGATGAGGCAGCCGCAGAGCAGTTTATCGCTGCAGCAAATGCGTTCCGCATGCAAAAGATGGGTATGGGCAGATGCATCCTGCAACACAACACGGTCTTGAAGGTTAACAACATTCAGGCAAGGAGGCAGGCGAGGCTTTCGAAAAGGCAGCATCAGTACAACGTCAGCACCTGAACGAGCCTGATGACGAAGCAAACACGCTCACAGACGCCTTTAGTATGCTTCTACTCTCACGTTGGATTCGGTTTCGACTAACACGACATCAGAGGCCTACCGCAAAGATGACCCAGAAGCCGCAGCGAGGTGTTTAGACAAAGCCATTGCGCATTACTGCGCCAAAGGCAACTTCCGCCGTGCAGCCACTCACAAGCAGAACCTTGCCGAGCTCTACGAAGTTGAGCTTGGTGACAACGCCCGAGCCGGAGCCGCCTACGAGGAAGCGGCTGGTTGGTACGAGAGCGTAAGTACTGCATCCTAAAATACTCTGGACCACATGCTAACCTATCTCTAGGACAACGCTGAAGTAAATCACCCAACACCCAACCTTTTGGCAAAAACTAACCAACCCCTACAGGCACTCGCCAACAAGCTTTGGCTCAAGACCGCAGATCTCGTCGCCCTAGAAGGCAAGGACTACTACAAAGCCATCGAGCTTTACGAAAAGGTCGCCAAGACCTCGATCTCCAACAATCTCATGCGCTGGTCCGTCAAAGAGTACCTTCTCAAAGCTGGTATCTGCCAGCTATGCACAGGCGACCAGGTCGGTGTCAACACTGCGCTTGACAGGTACAGAGAGCTGGATCCAAGCTTCCAGCAACAGAGGGAGCACGCGCTGCTGGTTGACTTGGCAGGTGCGGTGCAGGAAGGCGACCAGGAGATGTTTGCCGATAAGGTATGTTTTCCCCGGAGTTACGCTTTCCAAGTATGCATTATGTTGACGCGTGATAGTTGTTCCAATTCGATCAGCTGAGCAAGCTCGACAAGTGGAAGACCACGCTTCTGTTGCGGGTCAAGAACACGATTGAAGAGGGTGGTGAGGATTTCTCGTAGAAGCCGATTAATAGGAAGGGTTCCTGCTCTATACGGCGCTCCAGTTTGCTTTTGTGTTTGGTATAGACACTGCGTCTTTGGGTCTACAATAGAATGAGATCTCACAGCATCACCGTATGCAGCAGGTAATGATTGCGATGTCTATATCAAATCGTTCATTTGCTACTCAAATCATACACGTGCTAGTGTGAAGTACCTGCTCCGCTGGAAGACAAGGCTATTATACAAGGAATATGTCGTAAAGATCGTCGCGCTGCAAGAACAAACAAACTCAGTGCTCCTACAAGCCATCGTCTACAACTCCATGTTTTCAACAAGAGGCTGAAGGCGCTCCTTGAGGTCCTCGACGTCAAGCTCCTCACCCTTCCAGAAGACCTGCTCGCCACCAGCGGTCTTAGGAGGAATCAAGACGTTGGAGACGACCTGAATGACGCCATCGCTAGCAACACCGTCATGGACAGTGACGCGCGAGAAGCCATTGATCCTAATCTCCACAAAAGGTCCGTAACGACCGACATCAACAGCGAGGTTCTTGCCGCAAAGAGCAGTAGGCATGTCGTAGTGGTAGCCTCCCGGACGCTCCTGTACAGAATCCTTGTCATCCTTCTTACGTCCATCGTAGAACGCATCCGAGTAAAGCGTCTCATCAACAACAATGTGGTACTTCAGCAACGCCTTGAGGTACTTCTCGCCGTACTTTGAGAACAAGAAAGCATTGGCGCGCGCACCAAGTTTCTGGAACGCAAAGTTGTTGGGGGCGAAGAAAGTTCCGCCGTTGTGCTCGTATTCTGTGCTGTTCATCTTGTCGAACAGACCGGTCTTTCCTAGACCCAGCTCGAGCGTGCTGAACTCGCCGGGGAGCAGGTCGATGATGGAGGCGACGTTGGGGGGAGGCACGAGGATGGAGTCGACGCCGTGGACGACGCCGTTGGTGCCGAAGATGTTGACGGCTACGAGGCGGCTGTAGAAGTTGATTGCGGGGCCCTTGAGTGTGACGCGCACGGTTAGGCGCTGGGAGTGGCCAAGAAGCTTCGAGGGCTGGTAGAGGGTTGGGATCGTGTAGGTCTTGAGTACGCGGCCTGCAGGGTACAAGTCGTCGGTAACGTGGTACAGGAGGATGTCCTTCAGAATCTCCTTAGAGGGCTTGTGGTGGTGCTCGGGGATCTTCTCAAAGGCCTCGTCTGTGGGGGCGAAAACGGTGTAGTTTGCCTTGGTGCTGTTGAGCGCCTCGACGATGTCGTCGAACTCGTTGATCCACTTTGCGAGCTTTGTAGTGTATTTGCTCTCGTTGATGAGCTCGTAGACTGTGCGGTTCGGCTTCTGGTCGTGTGGAGGGTGGTGAGGGTTGCCGTGGTGTGGCGGTCCATCGTGGCCGTGATGAGGGTCCTCAAAGTCAACGACACTGTCGTCGAATTGGTTTCCCTCTAACCACGACTCAACGTCAGCGCCAGCATGATGGATCTTGCTGTAAACATCCTTGGCACCGTCCTTGACCTTGCTGAACGCATCGTCAAGCACGCTCTGGGCGTTGTCAAAAACATTGTGAGCGCCATCGACGAGCTGCTTTCCAGACTTCTCAATGTTGATGTTGGAGAAGACTTCCGGTTCGGTAATGACAAATGCAGTCGCCAGAGGCAAGACTGGTACAACGCGTGAGAACCGCATGGTGACCTAGTGATTGATGGGGAATCGGGGAATTGGGGAAAAGTGGTAGAGGAACACAGGTAAGATGTAGCTAGGCAGCGAAGCTAAAGAGTAAGACGGAGTCGATTACAACACCACTGCGTGGCGACGTTATTGGGGGGCGGAGCGTCGGTAAGTGACCCGCTTGTTTGGGTGTCGGACTACAAGGCGGACGAATCCAACGAACCAGAATTGTGCCGGTTGGAGTAGAGGAAGATGCTGCAGCAATGGTTGGATAGTTTCGCTTTCGTATTCACTCGTATACACAGGTACAAACACCGGCCTCAAGGTATGCTTCCAACGCACCGTCGAGGCCTCGCGGCCGCGTGCTGTACGTACCAGGCTGTCAAGGACGCGTCAGTCGATCTTCCCCGCGTTTCCACGGCGGAGGCGGATGTGCTGGATGGCGACGACGTGACTACGTCATGATCACCGATCCATCTCACCACCCGAAACTTTGAGTGTTTCGTAGCCTTCGACCGGGTAAGTCTGCGATCTGAGATCTGATCTTTGGGATGCTCTAGCGGATGTGTATACACTT